CTCATTTTCCTTCAAACTTTGGACTACAATTTCTCATTTATCTAAAATTAATTTTGGTTTTTCAAATATATCAAAATCATTTACTAACTGATTAGAACATGTTAGTCTATTTATTTGCATAATTCGACAATTGGATTAAATTCAAATATTTGGCCGAACTTTGACTGAAAATCACTTTTCAAGATTTCAAGGGCAAGGCCAGTACAGCCTTCTGAAGCAGCAATATAAAGAGGTGACTCCACAAATGTCATCTCATTGGGGACATCAAAGTACTCTGGATTGTTGTGTATTTTGCTTTACAAGGCAACGATATCTGGATCTTGAACAGTGTTCATTCTGCAAACTCGAAAAGTGCTCTGAGTATTTCAATTGGATCTGATCTGAGTTTCTTTATGGGAGGAAATTGAATAGTGCAAACTATCCTATTGCATTTAATTAAATTAAAAATAAGCAAACATATTGTCTTCCCACGAACTGTAAATTCATAGGCTTTTCCCTTTTGTACAAAAGAAGAAGAAACAGAAATTGGTGAGAATAGACTAAAATAGTGGGCCCCACAGCGTATTTAAATATTACAAAAAATGGCGGCCTCACCTGCTTGTGTGTGGTCTGATATGTTTATGTGGTATACAGTTTCTGTACACCCAGCAGAATTCAAATTTATATTTCTTCAGCTACTTTCCTTAAATAATAATATATGATAAATTCAAGGAATTGGAGCTCTGATACCATGATGAAATCAAGGAAAATGATATGAAATTGCGGCTGAAAATATGAACAAAAATAACAGAGAAAGAAAAGGGATAGAGCCTGCTGTAGTAAGGCAGGGAAGAAGATGAATACTCATTCAACTTGCTTCAGAATTACAATGCATAAGAACTCTATTTATGGATGAAAAAGCTAACCAATTATCTAACTAACTAACAAGATAACAAACTTAAGAAGATACTAGAATAAACTAGAATCTGAAGCTGGAAGAAGTGGAACTGAACACGTGAACTGGTGAACTGAAGGTGAGCTGGAACGTGTTCTGGTGANGTTGAATTCTGTTGAACTGGTGAACTGAAGAAGTGCTGGAACGTGTTCTAGTAAGCTGGTGGAGCTGCTGGTGAACATCTGGTGAAGCTACTGGTTTGATGTGCTTTTGCTGGTTATCTGGTTTTAATATTCCAGCAATATATTTTTCACACCTGACGGTAAGACTCAATAGAATATTTTTGATAAAGTATTTCGAAGTAAAAGAATAGTTTTTAAAGTCTTGCCGATACGGATTAAAAATGTGAGAACCTGTCTTTCTCGTCACCTTCCCCATTCCATGAATTTCCTCATTGTTGACTTTCCTTAAACAATAATATATTTTTATCACGTAACAGTCAAACTTAATAGAATATTTTTGATAAAATATTTCGAAATGACAACCACCACGTCTCGCAATAGGAGCTTTCCAAATTACATAGATCTACGAATTCGAACAGCATTCTCTCTCTACCATAATCATGACTTTGATGTATAAGAAAACCATTTTGGTGAAGTGTTTTAATGCAAAATCAAGCAAGAACATGATATGGAATGACTAAATGGCGTCTGGCGGTCCTTTATATAGAATGTGAGGGGCTCTAGTTGAAGAGACATGTCCAAAACTCAGCATTTTTCATGAAAGGTCACAATCCAATCTGTTGCTCACCTACCGTTGGAGCGCCGCTCGAACACCAAAAGTAGAAACCCTATCGCTCGCCTGGGACTGGGTTGCCACTCGAACGACTGTCTTATGTTGGTTTTTTTTCTCATTTTCCGTCAAACTTTGGACTACAATTTTTTATTTATCCGAAATTGATTTTGAGTTTCAAATATACCAAAATCATTTACTAAATGATTAGAACACGGTAGTCTATTTATTTTCATAATTTGACTATTGGATTAAATTCAAATATTTGGCCGAACTTTGAGACAAAATCACTTTTCAAGGTTTTATATATATTATACCAATTTCCATCAAACAATACCTGGTTTAAAGAAAAATGAGAACCATTTTATTTTATTTATTTTATTAATTTTCTGGTATTTTTAGCTAAGCAAATTTATAGATAAGCTTTCTACACGATGTATCAATTTGAAAGAGTATCAATTATTGAGCAATGTTTTAAAAAAGCATAAAACGTGACTAAACGTGGAGACCAAACTTCAAACTCTACGAGCATAAACAAGATCTAAGCGTAAAAAAAATATGGAAAATGTTAGATGTACATCAAAGTGTACATCAGGGTGTCCATAATAGACACCCGGCACCTCCTCATTGGAGGGAGTGTTTGTGGGACCGACACTCCCTCCAATGAGGCCCTGATGTACAATTTGATGTACAAGAAGCACAACCCAAAAAATATTTTCTTATTTTTAATATTATTATAATTTTTTAATCGTTTTAAATATTATTTAATAATTAAAATAATATATATCAAATATCTAAAATTATAAACTATGCCCCTGTTTGATTCTCATTTTTGGGTAAAATGTGCTATGAAATAGTGATTTTTTGGAGAACGTGTGGCTAATAAGAAAAAAAATTGAAATACGTGTAAAATTATTTAATGGGATGATGTATGGTTAAAAATGAGTTTTGAAAAAATAAGCTCAAATAGGGACTTACTTAATAACTACTACAATTAGTTAATTATACAATTTTTATGTTTTTGAAATGCAAAAACTAGACTATTTTTCATAATTTCAATTTTTACTACACAAATCCTATTTAATAGATTAATAGTAACTTCATACATACTTTCGAAAATTTCAACAAAACGATAAGTCTCAAAATCATGATTACAAAATGTAGATAGTAGGGTAGCTTCAATCTTACCTCTCTTTATCGAACAAAGTCATTTTGTTTAACTTTTGTATAGATAAAATAATTTTAAAACTTGAAACTAACGTAAAATAATTTTAAAACTTAGAATTTAGTGAATGAAGTTTTGATCATGATCACAATCCTCTTCAAGTTTTAGTTTGATGTCGAGACAATTTTGATGTTTCAAGTCAAACTCGTGGGTTTGAAAGGTGGATTAGGACTTTGATCTAATGTTATTTTTATACAAATTCTAGATCGTTAAAAAAAGTCTTAAGTAAAAAATTTACAAAATTTGGAAAAATGGAGTTTTTAGGCCATTAAGTAGTAATCAGCGGAAAACAAATCAGTTATACAACCCAGTCTCCTGTTCTCACAAGTGGAGTTTAGGTGTATGACTACATTTATAATCGGAAGTAACATTAGTCTGTCAACTGTGGCCAGCATGGATTAAAAATGTGATAACCCCGCTTTCTCATTGCTTTCCACAGCCAATGAATTTTCTCATTGTTGCCTTTTCTTAGCATTGAATTAAATTAAAAATAAACAAATGCATTACGTTCTCACCAATCCACTAAATTTATATTTTCCACACCTTACTGTCAAACTCACTTGAATATAAACACGTGGAGTTTACGTTCATGCATAGATTGCATACTATTTTTGGTTAAGTATTTCGAAGTAAAATAGTTTTTCAAGTCTGGCCAGCATGGATTAAAAATGTGATAACCTCGTTTTGGATTTTAATT